TGTTGCCATGTCTAACATGCTTGCCATGAGGCTAAATGCTTAAATGATAAACTGCTTGAATGCCTATGGATAAAGGCTAATTGCTTGAATTGGAATAATTTGAGTAATGTACATATACGATCACTTTTTCAAGTAGTACATATTCGAAACAATTTTCAAAACAAACCTGAAATCAAGTGTTCCAATTCTTGCAAGTTAGTCTATACTTGTGTGTGCATCACATAGTAAGTTAGTCTAATAATCGGAACAAGAGTATATAATGTAAATAAGAATCACATTATGATTAGTAGAGGCTGATTTTTGATCGGGCACACGAGGGTGCTCAATTCATGACCTTTCCCTCTCGTACCTAAGTTCCCAAGCAGAGACAATTTTGGTGATGACGGACACGTGGCCTTTGGCACGAGTCATGGGTTTCCTAAATTTTTCAAAAATATTTAGGTGGCGACTCTGTATCTGGCAAAGTAGTCCATTTTTAGCAATTTGATTCAAAATCGATTTTTCAAAAGATTTGCTAGATTTGGACTCTTTGGTGTTTATCTATTTCATGTTGCATTTTTGAGATCAGATTCAGAACCGCAAGAATCCGATACTGTAGGGCTTATTCGGCTTTTGAAATGGGGCATGAAAAAGTCGAGCTACACCACATAATTCCCTTTCAAGTTCATTATAATAATTTACAACACCTAAAATATATATATATATATATATAATATACACCTAATTTGCCATAAGGGCTTATACCTTTCAAGGCTAAGGGTCTTAATCATAACAAATAAAATCCTAACTCGACCGATAAGCTCGATAGTTGTAGGTAAACAATCATCAAAAGAAGCTTTAGAACTCCATCCAGAATTCCATTAACGTTTTAACGATATCAAGATTCATATTCTTCACCTGATATTTTAGAATATCCAGACAATAAATAAATAAATAAATAAAAAGAGTGGACTTATACGCCCAGTAAGAAATAAACATAACAACATATATAAATATTCGATGTGATTATGCTCATGCAATGCCATGTCATGTCATGCATACGACTCAACTTTGTGAAACTCAATTGTGAAATGCATAATTTGTAACCCATGTTTGACCTAACTCAATAACCATTGTCAAAACCAAGAATTTTCATTTTTGTAATAAACTCCACATTACATATCTCAAACACTCCCCATATTTAGCCGCCACCAAGTACGGCAATTGGACACCGATTTCATTTTAAAAACATATCCACAATTTCCAGCCACCAAGCACAGATGGGCTATTGGACATCCATCAATCGTTTCAACCATTCCCCACATTTATCGGCACTTAGCACAGAAGGGCAATTGGGCACCTATACCAAAATACTAATAACATCCCCACATTTTCTGGCCTCCGAGCACGAGAGGGCAATTGGGCACCTTAACACACACCACATTTCCAATAACACACACACACTTTTAAATACTTAACATTTAATCCAAAAACCGTGCGAATGCAATGCATGAGTTTTCAAATATTCTAATTTGCCCAAAGCATAAGTTGACAAATAAGAATTAGTGAAATATTCTCTATTTCCATGATCCAAGTTTTTCTTAATAACAACAACAATCCTATGCAAGATATTACTTTATATCCTTCCAACATTTCAAAGTTTCCATACAATTCTCTTCCATGAATCCTTAATAATATCATCATAATTCATAATTTATCCCACATATATATTCTCAAGGAATACGAAGTGAAATTTTAACATAAAGTACTAATTAGCTCAAACCTTCTTTGAATTTAAAAATCCTAAATCTAGGGTTTCAAGAAAATTGGGAGTTTTCCTCATTTATTTGTTAAATCCTCAAATAATTAAATATTATCCATCAATGTACCAAAACATTCAACACATTTTAAAAATTTGAGTGAAAATCCCATTTTTATACACAAACAACTTACCATTAAAGTTTTCTAACTCATAATCAACTCAAAACCCCAAAATGTCACAAAATCACACCAAATCATAAATATATATGGTTGAGAGAACCCCTACCTCAAGGATGAGAGCTAACAAGGAAGACCTAAGCAAAAACTTTGGCGAAATCATAATCTAACCGGTCAAGATGGTGACCTTCACTTCTCCTTCACTAGTCTTGCAAGATCTATGGTGGAACCTAGGTAAAATGGAGTGAAATCCAAGGTTTCAAGGCTATGGTTTTCGGACATGAAGGGGTGAGGGAGAGAAAAGAGAGAAAAGTGAGAGAAAATGAGCAAAAAGTGGGTTTTATACTTGCTGAACCCAAACAGACCGCCTGAGTGGTATTTCCACCGCTTGAGCAGTGATCCTAGACTCCTAGCATTTCAGGCTTGCAAAACATAATACTGGTGAACCCTTCTTCACCACTTGAGCGATCTTCCCACCGCTCGAGCAGTCACCTTGGAAACAGCTAGTCACACAGGCTTAGCTCCTAATGCACTCTTTGCACATCAACTTTATTTCCGTATAAGTAAATGTTTTCATTAAACCTCTTACATTTATATTTCATTTACTTAAGTTTACAATGTAAATAAGGAAATACTCTCCATTTGGATTCAAAGAAAAAAAAGAAAAAAAAAATCAAAATCCAATTAAATCAAAAAATGATTCCCCCTGTTTTAGTACAAAAATAAATTTCCGACTGAAATTTCTAAGTTTGACGTTGAAATAAAGTGGTTAATGCCTCATAGAAAAATCTCATAAAATCAAATTAGATTATTTACTATAAAAGGGATAATTAACGCCAAAAATTATTTTCAAAATCGTAAGTTTTGAAAAATCCAACCTTTCCACTTAGAAAATTTTCAGGTTAAGTCCAACCTTTTATCGAAAACCTTTTTAACACTACCATCTTTATGCAAAAAAGAATAAATATCAGATCTCGACTTGAGCCATTATAGTTCCTATTCTGTCTAAGTCTCTCTTTGATTTGAAAACCTTAAATCTAAATTTCATTTATAGTTGGGTTTCGATTGTGTCTCTAATATATATTCCTATTCTATCTAAATATTATTCACAGACATTGTCTGTAAACTTCACTTACAGATATTGTTCCTATTTTGTTTAAATCTCTCTTTGATTTGAAGGGCTTTGATTTTGTGAACAGGTGTAAGGTTTTGAGTCCTCTTGAAGTTTCATTAGTGGTTGGAGCAAAATGTGTGTCTTGATGGTGATTTCTCTCTCAATCTCCCTTTCTCTCTATTACATATAGAGCACATTATTTATTTATATGTTTATTTTTTTATTATTATTGTTCAGATTCATTCCCAGCTTTCAATCAGTTGAGCTCTCTATTTTTTTTTTCCAATATTTGATTACTTTGATCATGTCATTTAAATTGAATGTAGATTCTTTGGTTAAGCTTAATTTGAATTATGGTAGGAATTTATATTGTGAAGAAGTTAATCTGTTGCATTTTCTATAAATATTTTTGGCCCTCTCTCTCTCTCTCTCTATCCGGAACATGTATATGTGTTTTACACAATTTATATGGTGACACACATACATGTTCACAACATGGTGACACACATATATTATGTTAATTTGTTACATTAACTGTGTGTTTTATAAATAACAAAGTTCAACAAATCGTATCATTCTGAAAATACTTATAATCAAACATAGTTTTACAGAGTAGTTTCTCACAGATAGCTATAGAAGCTTAACAGATAACTTAGACAGATTAGTCGGATAAAGGCGTGTGACCTACACATAAAGACGTAACAAATACATATTGAAACACATGCTTGATAAACACTTAACTTATCACTTTCCTTCTTAACGTGTGTTTATCCTTATTATTATAGCTTAATCATGGCCTCGGAATGCTTAAGATGCAATGAGGACGCAAAAATGTACTTTGAAAACACTTGTAAAATTTTTGAAAGCAGGGCAATTCACTCGAGCAAAGCTTTGGCCGCTCGCTCGAGCGGTCTGCAAAGTTTGCAAAAGTACTGGGAGCTCTTATTTTACACTCGAGCCAACTTTTGGTCGCTCGAACCAAGGTTCAAACAAAGGGTGGTTGCTCGAGCGGTCTTTCAATCGCTTGAGCCAACCATTAATCTCTGCAAAAAAATTGGCAGCTCGAAATTTATGCTCGAGCAACTGTTTAGTCGCTCGAGCGATGTGACCAAATTTTGGAATTTTCAGATTGCTCTCCAAGCTTCAAAACTTGATTCCAAAGCATTAAAACACATTCTTTTGGGTCAAAACTTAAGAAAACATGTAGAAACTCATAATACATCATGAATTGAAAATCATTTCGCAAAATCAAGCCCAAAAACATGTCAATTGTTCAAAACAAATCTTGAAACTTTGTATATGCTTACATGCATGTAATACCTCAAAATCTTTGGTTCCAAAACATGTCCAAATGAAGTAACAAAAGAAGAATCATGCTGAATTGTCATAATCTTGCGAGTATATGCCCATGCATGTGAGAACTCTTGGAAATCAAACTCAAAGTGTGATGAGATATGCATGCATGTATGATTTACTTCCCAATGCTACTTTCTAAGTTCAATTTCCAAGCTTAAACATCTATACCTCTTGAATTCAAACACCAATGTCTTAAATACCAAGTTTAAGAGTATGATCCTTGCCTACACTCTTCAATTGGACTCTTAGAAGTTAATTCTTGAGCTAGCAAGTCAATTCTCCAATTTCCTTCCAAATTCCTCGTCTCCTAGCTTGAATTCAATTTCTCTTTCTCCGTCTCTCTCTCTCTCTCTCTCTCTACATGTTTTGAGCTCAAAATGGTGATAAGATTGTATTCTAGAAGTTATATTGGCCTTACATAGGTCCAATTAGCTTAGGTTAATTAATTGTGTTTAAGGGTAATTAATCCCACTCAGTTGTAATTAATTTATTATAATTATTTGGTTCCGAATTAAAATCCAATTAAACTTACCATAGTATTCCAAAAATTCTAATTTACACATTGGCCGATAAGGCCTTCAATTAAATCCATGTTTGGTGGCTGATAAGGCCTTCAATTCACAGATTCACGTAGAATTACAGGCAAATATTCCTACAGCAGACATATATAAACATATATAACACATGGCACATACAATTAACTTAGGATTTTATCTTAATTACTTGTTAAGCATTCTTAATCAAGGATTATAGGTTAATCACAGGTCATGGTTGTTACAGTCTTCCCCCCTTAAAGAGTTTGGTCCTCCAAACTTGAATTACCTTTATTGCAGATGAAGCCGAGTCTAGAGGGAACAAATCTGGATATCGTCTCATCATATCTTCTTCAATCTCCCAAGTTGCATACATCCCTTCATTATTTTGCCAATCTACTTTCACCAACGGGATTTCTTTGTTTCTTAATCTTTCGATCCTCTGGTTGACAATTTGAATTGGATATTCTTCATATGTGAAGTCATCTTTCAGTAGCATGTGTGTCGGTTCAATCACATGTAACGGATCTTGTAAATAATCCCAAAGCATCGAAACATGAAAGACATTGTGCATATTTTTCATGAGTGGAGGTAAGGCCACTTGATACATCACTGGATTGATTTTCTCGATAATCTCATATAGGCCAATGTACCGCAGTGCCAATTTGCCTTTAACTTCAAACCGTGTCTGGCCTTTCATCAGAGTTGCTTCAATGAATACATGGTCACTGACTTCATATTCTTTGTCTCTTCTCTGGACATCTGTATAACTCTTTTGACGACTCTGAGCGGTTTTTAAATGTTGTTGAATTAGTTTTACTTTCTCAATCGTCTCTTGCACAAGTTCCTGTCCTAATAATGGTCTATCGCCTACTTCGTTCTAACAAATCGGAGATCTGCATTTTCTATCATACAAAGCTTCATAAGGAGCCATACCGATACTTGAATGATAACTATTGTTGTACACAAATTCGGCCAATGACAAATAAGTTTCCTAATTTCCGTAGAAGTCCAATACACTCATTCATAGCATATCTTCCAAAGTTTGGATGGTCCGTTATGATCGGTCGTTTGTCTGTGGGTGATAAGCACTACTTAGTCTCAATTTAGTTCCCAAGGCTTATTGCATACTCTACCAAAATCTCGAGGTGAACTTAGACTCTCTGCCAGATACAATAGATACTGACACCCCATGTAGTCTCACAATCTCATCAATGTAAATGCTAGCCTATTTATCTGCATTAGAAAAAGTTTTGACATGTAAAAAATGTGCGGATTTAGTCAAACGATCAACAATTATCCAAATAAAGTCCATACCTCTAGAAGAATGAGGCAAGCCAACAATGAAGTCCATCGTAATATGCTCTCATTTCTATTCTGGTATTAGAAACGGCTTAAGCAATCCAACGGGTTATTGATATTCGGCTTTTACTTGTTGGCAATATAAACATTTGGCTACAAAATTAGTAACACATTTCTTCATTCCAGGCTACCAAAAATTCTGTCTCAAATCATGATACATCTTTGTGTTTTCCGGATGCATAACAAATTTGGAGCTGTGAGCCTCAATCATAATACGCTTCCTTAATTCAGAACAATCCGGTACACAAAGTTTACCTTGAAATCTCAATACATTGCCCTCAAACACAAATCCTAGTCTCGGTTTTGATTCAATTTTATAAACAATCTTTTTTAGAAATTCATCTTCTAACTGTTTTTCTTTAACTTCTTTGATGATTGCTGGCTGTGCAGAAATGGCAGCTAAAATTCCACCCTATTCACGTAAGACAATCTCAATTTCATTTCTTTCTAACTCACACAATAATTCCTTTTGACCAATGAGCAAACATGTCAAAGTCCTTCTGATCAGGGGCATAATCACGTGATACCCTCAGATCACGATATAATTTTTCTATCAATTGAGTACTTCCAGAGAGAATGGCAGTGTTTGTCACCCAATGAATTTCATAGATTTCCCTTCTCCTAATTAAAAAATTATAATTGATGAAAAATACACACCTATGAGTCATATGTCATTTTGTAAAAACTTTAATCATTTTTTGTGATAAGAACTGTGAGAGCCAGAAAAAAAAAATATATTAGCTTATTGGGGTTAGCCTAAACAAGGCCTACAATGGGTTCAGCCCAAACAAATATCACCCCCCATCTATATAAAAGGGGGGCATCCCAGAAGATGGGGTAAGTCATCTCTCTTTACACTACACACCAAGCACTCTACATTTTCTAGACCTTTATTCTGTTTATCAAGTGACTGACATCACCATCGGAGTGTCTCCGTCCGGCAACCTTGGTTGGGTGGCGCCAATCATGTTCATCTTTGTAGGTCTACCAAGGCAAAGTTCATCTCTTCGTTAGATCTCTACAATCCAAGTGAGAGGATATTTCTTGGTCTCACAATTGGCACCGTCTGTGGGAACGACTGAATGAGATCAACGAAGAACACAACAAATATGTTACTGTAAGTAAATATTCTACAACACTTTGATGGTTACCACGAGCCACAATTAAGCTTTGAATTTCTCTCTGATGAAATTTATTATAAAATTACTGTAAAATCGATTCTTGAATTGTATACATATATCTGTGTGTATGGACAAACTCCATGGAATCTCTTTTCTTTTTTCATGGTAAATCTTGATGAAAAGTGTTATAATAAAATTGTGCTCATGGATTTACTTTTGCATCTTCATTGTCTCTCTCTAAAAATGGGTTTCAGATTATGTTTGTGGGAGCTTCTTTTCGGCATTATCAAAAGGGTTGCTTAGCCAAACCTACCCCCAGGATTCTTTATTTAGTTTTTTCCTCAAAGGAGTTTATTTTATAATTAATTCTTGAGATATGCATATGTCTATACTAGCAAGTTTTATGGAATCCACATTTGGGTCTTTACTTTCTCTCTCGAAAAGTTTATTAATCAGGATATTCGGCACCATTATCTTCTCAGCAGGATCGCAATGAGATCAGAGTAAACTGTTAAAACTGAAAGGCTCATTTAGTTTGGCACTTTATTTGGCTTGTCTATCAACCAACTCAGCAACAGTAACTCTTTATTGGGTTGCTCGTCAACTCTCTTGTTATTCTAAATCTCATTTCTGAAAGCTATCTCTATATTTGCAAAGACACATTTATATATATATATATATATATGGATACAAATATTTGCATATGCATCAGACTTGCTTGTTCGGCTCACAGACAAGGTGTTATAGACCGACCACGGCTCTCTCTAGCGCTATTATTGGCAAAGGTGGAGTCGTGCCGACCAAGTTCTTTAGTATGTCAGCCAAGGCGATTTGCCTTCCAAATGTCTCGGCAAGACAAACCCAGTGGGGTAGCTGACCTAGAGCTATCGGCAAGTGAAAAACATAGTTGCTGACTCTAACTTTAGAGTAGAAATGACACCGCCCAGTTGACAATTCCGTTAAAGACAGCAGCACACAATATTCTTCAGACAACCACTCAAGTTTCTTAGCATTTCAATGCTTTCTATTGAATCGGGTTTAGAATCACAATGGACCTATCTGGAAATGCAACAAGGCTGTTCAGCAGCTTTACACATACCAAGCATTCGAGCCATGTATATTCATTTTGGCAGTACCGTGACTCATGGCAAATCGTTCGGCACAGCTACAAAGTTACGCGACAGATCTGTAACCCCGAGCCCCATTCTTAGGTAACAAAAATGGCCTTGATTATTCGCCGCCAAGAGCATATTCCACAATGTACACCAAGCTCTTTTGCCGATCACCTGCTAAACAATACCCAAAAGAAAAAGAAAAAGAAAAAGAAAAAGAAAAGAAATAGAACAACCTTATTTTTTGGTCAACTTTCGGATGTCCGATGACATCCAAACAAAGGAAAAATGAGGCATCTAAATGGTGGAATGAATACTAGACCGAGAGATGAATCCAACGCCGCAAGAATGAGGCCAATCGGACTTAAAGCGAGGGAGATCTAAAGGCTCAAAGTCAGGAGTTCAAACTTAGAAAATTATGAATTTCATGACCTGTTGCATGGAGGAGATGACATAAGAATTTATTGTACGCTTCTTGGTGCAAGGCGCTCTGTTGCATCTTTGGGTGTTCAGGTTAATCGAGTGGTCTAATAAACTTTGGGGGCGACTACCTTCTAGTTTTTTGCCGTGTAGAATTCATTTTTAGATTCCAATTTTGAAAATTCTGAGTCTGATATTCAGATCAATAAATCGGTCAATTTGCAACATTAAACGAAAACTCAATGGTTAGATCGTATCTGATCTGCATGCAATTTTGACAACAAGCTTCATCATCACCTTGGCCACATACCACCAACTGGGACAGGACCCACCTCCTGGATTTCTTTTATTTTTTTCTTTGCAACATCAAAACGATTAACTCATTTTTGTAGTCTTTGCATATAAAGTTATTTATCACCTTGATCCTTGTGGCAATTTCTTTTTTAAGTGTTCATTTCAGTTTGTCAAGAAAAATTGCAGGGAACATTTTGGAAACTCGGCTACCCACTGCGGCAAGTTGCCGATCAAGCATTTCAGCAAATGGCAAGATAAAAGACCAAGAGGTACCACAGAAGTCGGCGAGCTAATGACGTTGCCGCCTTGCCAATCATGAGTATAGAAATAATATTTATTACAAGATAATAAATATTTACATAAATATTAATATTGACTTGCCTTTATATGTGTATGTACAAGATCTCATAAATAGCTTGCCAGACCTGTTTGGCTCCAGAGCTGCATATTATCATTAAACCATGGTTAGGTCTTCATTCTCTCTCTCTCTAGAAAAATTCCATGAGTTATTATAGTAATTTATGGTCATCTTTTGATCGGCTATATATGAAGCTAATTAGGAACTCCACTTGTAAGATGTGTTCTTGATTAAGGTTACAAAACTATTAATATACATTTGGGCTATTCAGCTAATGTGTTGGCCTAGTAATTGCTTTCCTTCTCATTGGCTCAATTTACTTTAAGTAATTCACTTCTTGAGATTATGCGAACATATGTTGCATTTGACTGATTCACTCTCTTCGGCATGCCTTTTTGCCCAACTAATTTTTGGAGTTTGTATATAAAGGTTTGAAAGCTCTATTATTGGCCTCATAAACAGCACGTTCGGTACTTCCTAGACTGACACCACAAAGCTCGCCGTTGCACCTTAGTATAGCACCAGCACCTGGGCAAGCCAAGAGGAGTATCAATCGACACCAACAATTAGGTCAAGCTCAGCAAGCACCAAGAGGATGGTCGTGGAAATTAAAGTATTGCCATCATAAGTGCTTAAATTAACCAACTGCAATGCGGATTGACAACATTCGTCAGCAAGTTATTTGGCAAAAATTACACTCGTAACATTTCTTATTCGGTACATTATTTGGTGCTCGGCACGGACATGTTACTCGGCACATTCTTTGGCAACTATAGTATTATTCTACAATGTTATTCATCATTACAACTTATTCAGCACTAATACCTCGGCATAGAATTGCATCTTGGCTTGCCGAAGCCCACATCTGAACATACCACAAGATTCTTATCGGCTTAAAGAGTCCAAACCTACTAGCCTGAAGAGCCAAGGAGTAACCCAAATCAGCCGAAAGTTATGCAATGACTCACATGTGCCAAAAATTGAAATTTCAAAGTTGTCAAACTCAATTTTTGACCATACTAGTGTGAAGTAC